ACCTAGTAAATGTGGACTAGTGTCTGCCAGTACCATGTACCATTCTTTAAATATAATAAACCTAGTAAATGTGGACTAGTGTCTGCCAGTACCATGTACCATTCTTTAAATATAATAAACCTTTAAAATGTCGACTAGTGTCTGCCAGTACCATGTACCATTCTTTAAATATAATAATCTTTTAAAATGTCGACTAGTGTCTGTCAGTACCATGTACCATTCTTTAAATATAATAAACCTTTAAAATGTCGACTAGTGTCTGCCAGCACCATGTACCATTCTTTAAATATAATAAACCTTTAAAATGTCGACTAGTGTCTGTCAGTACCATGTACCACTCTTTAAATATAATAAACCTTTAAAATGTCGACTAGTGTCTGCCAGCATCATATGCCATTCCCTAAATATAATAAACCTTTGAAATGTGGACTAGTGTCTGCCAGCACCATGTACCATTCCCTAAATGTAATGAACCTTTGAAGTGTGGATCAGTGTTTGCCAGTAATGTGTACTGGCCCCAGGGGTGAAGGCAAACTTCCAAAATGAGGAGAAATCAGTTCTCCCTCCAGATGTCAGCAGGGAGCAATTTTTTAAAATAGACTTCACATTTCTGTATGTACACACTCACAATGTGAAAAACATTATATAATATTGGAAATGCTGTTTATATATGGGTTAAATATTTCCATTACATTTAGATATATCTATGCTAGCCTGAATGTTTTTGTCAATATTTCTTAAATTTCAAAATTTAAACTTCATTCAAAAATAATATAAAACCATTTTCTAAATTAATTTATGGCCAGAATTTGACTGGATGTTTCCAAAAGTTTTATGCTTAATCAATTTGCTAGAGAGATTCCAAGCAATTGAATTCCATATGGGTGGCAATGTATGTTTGATTTGATTGTACGCTTTAAATACAATTACATATCTGTAAGTTGAAGAGTAAAGACAATTTAAAATAATACTGTTTTATGGTACATAACTTGCATAATTAACGATTACCTTCCAGGACAAAAAATCAAGTAAAAGAATCCATCAGTCTGTGAGCCAAAAAATACACATTCCCAAGTGATCATTAACATCCTTCTATAATCCATTGATAGTGATATTAATTAATTCAATTATATCTATCAATACAATATACAATAAATTGTTTTATTTCTGTTTTGGCACTAACTTATAGCTTATGGTTATATTATCCATGCCAAATTGGGATAATATGAGTGTGTAGTGTCTCAGCAATATATGATTGGCTTATGATAAGAATTTGGAAACCAAGTGTATGATGATACTGTTTGTCTCTTTTGGCATGGCAGGTGATTGGCTGAACTGGAAAATGAAGCCAACTCTAATTTTGCCACTGTGGAAAAATGAAAAGTGAAGTTGGAACTTTGAAAGTGAAGTTTAAAATACTTCACACAGTTGCATTACTCCTGAAATTTGTATAGCATTCCTTATTGCTTATGAACCTTTTAAGTATGAAGTATTGTCTCTCAGTATTGTGCACTAGTTATTATTCCAAGTGAACTTTTGAAATGTCTTATTGGATTTGCCTGATTTGGTTACCAAGTGTCAATAAGATTATTGAAACTTATATTTCAATACTTAAAGACATTTGAAGCTGTGGAGTAGAATTTGCTAGAATGTGTGATTTCTTCTCCTCTTACAAGTCTTTTCCATTTCTGTTTTTATGAATTAAAAAATAGTTAAATTGTTGTTTTCAGACTTATTCCTGCATTTTAGTTTTAGATTGGGCTAACTTTGACATTCTTTTTTTATATTTTAGGCTTTGGTGAATTTCATATCTCTTGTATCAAATATTTTATCCAATTTTAAAGCTCTTTTAGTGAATTCACCTGTGTTTTATTGTATTAAGTTTTTGACTGGAACAGATTGAGATTGTCAAATTTTGTATATGGGCCAGATTCTTTACAGTAGGTGTCTGTGACTTTTGGTGATAAATTTCAATAATAAACAAGCAGCACACAGTCCAATATTTTAAACTAGTATAGTAAAACAAGTCAAACATATATACCACAGTTGTACTCAGAGCTTTAAATGTAATTACCACTTTTTCATCAAAGTCCTTACAGGTTGGTTCAGTTACTTTTAGAACAGAATTTGACAAGACAAATTATCATTCCTGCTCTGTTATTACAATACAGCCTGTGATAATTTCACTTTAAAAATCACCACTATATGCTCTTTATCATTAAACTCCAATCACGCAGTCTAGATCTAGCTATCTAACTAAATGTTCAGTGCATATTTATACTCTGTCAGAGGTCTAGAATATCCCACGCACTACTAGATATTATGATGCAATTAAAACAATGAGAAAACTCGGAAGGTTCTAATAACATGAGGCAATAATATAACAATCACCAATTCACAACAATTGAACTACACAACATACAATTCGTAAACCATTATGTAAACAATCTTATGATAAACTTTTACTTCTAAAAATAACTATATTTAACACTCGCATTAAACTTAAACTGAAACAGTCATGTATATCTAACAGAGATGTAAAATGGCATTATCTTCTTGTTAATAAGATAGAAAAGAACAGGTTGGACTATGTATTTTGTATTTGTAATTCTAACAATTAATACTTTGGTAAGACTTTTTTTTTATCAATCAGCATATTTTTGCATGATAGCTATTTTATTAAGGAATTAAAAATTAATAAAAATCAATTGTTGGTCTGGTTTTTCATTTGCAGTACATAACTCTGAGCTTCCGATGAATGCTGACAGGTCTGTGGCTTCAAGATATTCTTCTAGTCGCCCTCTAACAGAAGAGGAAATACAGAGTTTCTTTGCATTTCGGGTATGATTATTTCCTATTTGTATTATAGTTTTGAAAGCAGAACAGTGAAAATTGTTTGTTAGTTTTTGGTTTAGTTTTCTGTTTTAAGACTAAACTGTTACATTAGATATTAAAAGAGATTGACAAAAACTATGTTACATTGTACCCAATATTCTGAATATTTGTTATGTTTTAAGGATTCACATATTAAAATAGACAAGTCATATAAAGCACTTTACATTCATGATCATATAAGCAATCATAAAAAGCAGCTTTTGTATTTACTGTATTTTGTAATTTGTACACCATCCAAAAAAAAGTGTTTTATAATATGGGCATTAAATGTTTGTCATAAAAAATATTTTTTCTATGGAATTTACTTTGTATACTAGCTAATTCTTTTAAAAAAATATTACTTCTGATACATATGTAACCATTTCTGACATATAGCTTTCCTGATTCAGTACTGCCCTCTATATGATGCAAACCTAATCTCACATGTTTCCACATGGTATTGCTGCACTGTTGCTTGCAACTGAGCATGCTACACCACCTCCTAGCACAGCTCTATACTGATTGTTCAGTTGTCACTAGATTTGGCACTCATGTTAAAGTGTGTCATTTTCCCTCGCATGAGATTTCTTAAAATCAACGTTTTGTTGAAGTATCTATAAAATCAGCTGTTATGGAAATATTTTGTTTTTATTTTCAAACATTTTTATGGCTCTAATTTTTCACAAGATGAATTACACAGAGACGGTCATTTTCATACTCTCTAGGGTTGAACATCTAGACTTTGTTCACTCTAGTCTGACTACCAAAATGGCGTCAGATGCTTTTTTGTCTGCCAGTCTGTGACGGCCATTGTGCAGCAGATGGTGGAGTCTTGCACGGGGCTTGGACGTTTTTCAGGCCTTGACACAGACTTCTCCTATAATTCCTATTCATGAGGCATGGATTTTTGGTAGTCTATTCTTGCCACCTAAATTTCCAAACAATTCTACCTCAACATTCCGAGTCCTTCCATGATTTCTTCTCAGGTATATTACCTTCCTTCACTCTCTCCTATTTCTTATTATGCTTCATTTTCTCTTTTTTGTTCGGTCCCTTCTTCAGGATATTTTTTTCCTTCTTCCCCTGATATCTGAGTCCATGCTGAAAAAAATGCTTTGGCTTACAATTGAGCTGAAATCCTTATCTTGGACTCTTAAACTCAGGAGTCTCTTTTTCAGACTTGGGGTTTTGATCCATTGTCTTCTGTCAGTCTATCTGAAGCGCAGTTTTCTCACTTTTATCGTACTTTTACTACCTTTTTACACTATCTCTCCTCCATTTATTCCATTTGGAAGCATTCCACTGGTCTTTTGAGGAGTTTTTAGTAGACATCTTTCTCTTCTTTTTTCTATATTAGTGCATTCTTCATCCTTAGCCTTGTCCACTCTAGTTTAATTACTCTGTTGCTGGGATTTGTGAGAGAGGAATGCCCTTCTTTCCCAAGTATATTTACCTCCCTCTTATCTTGGGAATTTTTGTCTGACTCAGTTCCTCCACTAATGTTTTTTTTTGTGGGGGTATCTGATTCTTTGTGATCACAGGATGAGGCTGTTCACCAACATTTTCTTTGTGTCCCATCTTTCACAAGCTCCTTATATTCAAGTTGCTCTCTCCCATCCTCCTGACATTTTGCAGCTGGCCATTTCGGTCTAAAGGTTCTGTCCATTGGCCTTATTCTACATTTTTCCTCTCTTCCTCCCTTGTTTCTTATTCCCATTCCTTTCCCTCCTTTAACCCTTTTGAGACGGGTCATGGGTGAAAGGCCATGTCATCTCGTTTGTTGACTTGCATTCAAAATGTTATTGAACTACTATTTTATGAACTTATGTCAATAACTTTGGTATCAAACTGTAGATTAGAATTCAAATTTTAGTACTATATATTACTCAATTTCTTAATTTAAAAGCAAATATTAAAAAAACAGATAAATATTGATTTTTGTGTGTTACGTGGTATGTTGAATGCAGCACTGGTTCAAATTAGATGTTTTTGAAGTCAAAATACTAAGTCTATAGTTTTGCATGAATTAGAAACTCAAATTACCGATATTGACAAGCTAGAATATCTTTTCAATTTGCTAAGATATTGCTGATGTAATAAATCAAACACAGTGGAACCCCGCCCACCTCTTTACATTTTTGGAAACGCTCCCTTATATACACTTCTATATATGACATGAATAACCAATTGGAAGCTCAGAATGTCCCCCTAGTGGCTTTCTCATTAATTTTAATTTTAAATATTGCAACGAGGTAGGGTGTCTTTAGTCAGCTTGAAATATCATATTTTTTTAGACTAAAATACATCTTAGTTACTAAGCTTAATAAATTATAGTAGAATTCTGTGGTATTAATGTAGTAATTTATAATTTTTTAGTTATTCAAATGTATATATAAACCTAAAAAAATATTTTGTTTTATATCTTCCACATGCAAAATTTTTAAAGGCTTAGCAACCTACGTCAAGCAGCAATTGAGTACAAAGGTCGTAACTAGAAGAGATAATTGTTTGCTGTACTTCTTTATTTACTGTTCTATGTTTTAAGAAAATAAGTTTAAGAACTTATTTCAAAATAGCAATAACCTATATACATATATAATGTATAATAATTGAAATGTGACTATTTTATAAAATACTAGTTGACTAAAACACAGCCAAGACAGGTCACTTTGTACAGATCAAAGGTCAGTTTTTATGTTATTTGATACGGTAACACGAGTGCACGTGTGCCACATCATTGTAACTTCTATACTGTTAGCCAGACATGGCTGAAAGATCAATATAATAAAAATAATAAATATATATAAATGTATAATGTTGTGAGATTTATGTTTTTAGTTATAATTTGTGTTCATTCTAGAATGAAAGAGGCATAATTTATACTTATTCCCTAATTTTTTATTGTGGTTGTGAGATTGGTCAAATTTACCGAACTCCTACAGAGATTAATTACTGAAAATAACACCATAAAATGTAAAGTTTTTTCTTAAGACATGATTGATAACTATCTGGACATTATAAAGATTTTGCATGTGAAATTTAAAAATTTTCTGATGCATAAAAGTATTTTTAATCTTAAAAT